AAGAAATAATTAGGAACCATCGCGATATGTACTCGGAGCATGTTTCTCAGAGGGGATCATCTGCAAAGAGTGAGGGGCATGGGTTTGCAAAGAGTTGTGAAGATGTGATCCCGAGTAACAAGTGCAGAAACAGCAGACAGGTCCTAGGAAAGGTGAGCAATTTTCCCCTCCTGCCATGGCTGCAGAAACAAGAAACTTGCAACTCATTGCATTTCTGGAATTTCTAATAATGGCAATAATACTAGTGACAATAATGATAACAAACATTTATTGAGTTCTCACTTTGTTTCATTACCCCTGTGCTTCATGTTCACATTTAATTCTTGCCACCTCCCTGTGAGGGGCATTTATTATCTTTCCCTTACAGAGTAGGAAAAGGCTGACTCCAAAAGCCAAAGTAATAAGAGTGAGGAGGGTCAGCAAGCACCGAGCTGGACTTCGACCCAGATCCCAAAACTATTGTGCCACTGCATGTGTCCACTGTCACCCCAAATTTCTTTTTAAATTTTGTTTTGTTGGTTCATCTCCTGCTGCTGAGCAGGCAGCTTCTAATGTCCTCACGCTCCCCCCACCAGAACCTCCATCCTCTGACTTCCAGCTCCTTGTCAACCTCTCAAATACTGCTGGTGGTACTTCTGTTTCTGCCACAGTATTCCTAGATACACACTTGAGCTTCACATCAACTGACTCGTTCTCCTTTAGGGTCCTCTGGCCACACATCTCAGTTGGCAACCAGATCCCCTCCCAAGTCTTTCCAGTGATTCTCTAGAAAATGTCTTAGAGAAGGTCTTCCCCTGAAAGACAGCTGGAGCAAGAAACTCTCTGGGCCCTTAATTTGGATCTGTGAACAGAAAAGCAAGCTGAGCGGATCCCAGACTCCCAGCCCCCACCGGTGGAGACTCCCGTTGGCAGGGCCGATGCCACTCCTCTGTTCTTCCCACCACAGTACTTCAACCAGGCGAAGCACAGGCCCCCAGCCACTGGTGACCATGTCATGGGTGAAGAGTCACAGACTCATTCGATTGAGGTTTTGAATTGCAGGTAAAGGTGCCAACTTTGCCAGCTTCTGTACAGAGTTGCTGGCTTTGCATGCCAAGGCCTAGCACCCATATGTGAAAGCAAGGTGTCCCAGGCAGCGAATCTCCTCCTGATCTTATGCTGCCAAGAAAGAGGCCTCTGCTGCCTCCTTCCTCTCCGTTTTACTGCCAGATCTCATTGTTTAATACTTTCAAAACAAATCATATTTTAGAATCATTTTACTTCTGCAGAAGAGTTGCAAAGATAGAGAATTCTTACACACCCACCCCTAGTATCTTCTATTGTTAACATTGTACATTACTGTGGTAACTTTGTCACAACCATCAATAATACATTATTATTAAATAACATCCATATTTTGTTCAGAGTCATTAGTTTTTTCCTATTTCCTTCCAGGACCCATCCAGGGCACCACAGCACATTTAGTCATCATGTCTCCTTAGGGTCCTCTGGGCTGTGAAAGTTTCTTAGACTTCCCTTGGTTTTGATGAGGTTGACAATTTTGAGGAGTACTGGTCAAGTGTTTTGTAAAATGTTCTGCAATTTAGGTTGACTGAGGTTTTTCTCATTAGACTGGGGTTATGAATTTCGGGGAAGACTGTTCCCATTGTGTCACATCAAGGGTATGTACTATCGATACGGCTTATTACTGTGGACAGTGACCTTGACCCCCAGCTGAGGTAATGTCTGACTGGTTTCTCTACTGTAAAGTTACTTGCCCATCCCATTTCCATATTGTCCTTTTTGGAAGGAAAGGACACATGTCAGGAGTGGGGTGTTATGCTTTAAAATTAAATTATTTAGATTTTTTATGCATGGGAGATTGGAGTCATGGATATTTATTGTCCACTTTGAATTATAATCTATTACTACATTCTTTAACTGTAGACTTGGCCATTGGAAGTTCTGTGTCCCTATGACCTCCCCCATCATTGTTGTGCGTGTTTAGTACTTTCTTACTTTTTGGCACAACAAGGTACTCCAGACTCATCTTAGGTACTCCCTGCCCCAGCCTGGAATCAGCCATTGCTTCAAAAAGCCCTGGTTCTCTTTATTAAAGAATAGCATTACAAACTAAGATAGAAACAGTTTATTTTGTCCATTTAAAAGAAAAACAAAGCAAATAAACAATTTTTAAAATATTTTATTTATTTATTTTTAGACATAGAGGAAGGGAGGGAGGAAGAGAGGGAGAGAAACATCAGTACATGGTTGCCTCTTGTGTGCCCCCTACTGGGGACCTGGCCCACAACCCAGGCATGTGCCCTGACTGGGAATTGAACTGGTGACCCTTTGGTTCACAGGCCAGTGCTCAATCCACTGAGCCACATCAGTCAGGGCAAATAAACAAGTTTTGTTTTTAAAACCCAATCAATGACAAAGACACATTCCTTGCCAGAGCATAGCGTGGATGGGTTGGGGCTCACAGGAGCTCCATTTCACGCACACGAGAGGCACCGGCATTGGTGCCCACATCCCACCAAAAGATGCTCCTAGCAGTGGGGTCATAGCTGTTTTAGGACCTTTCTGAAATTGTGGGGACTCTCTATTCTAGCTAGGTTTTTTTTTATTCTTTGTATTATGCAATGAGGTAGAAATTTTAGAATGCTAAGTCAAAGGGTATTCCTACTTATGATTATTCTCTTACTAAAAGAATATTTTTAAAAAGTGACATACCACCTATGTTTGCATGAGATTTTTTTTTTTGGTCCAAAAGCCCCAGAAGTGGTTTTAGAAGTTGGATGAATAGAGACAGTTTTCCTTGCAACCCGTTGAATTAGTCCAATCCCTTTAATTGTTTCACTTGGGCAGAAATGGTGGGCAGAGATAAGAGGTATAATTATAATTATAATTGGCTGTTACCTCATTGGAGGTAAGGATCTTCATAGGAGGTGAGTCCAATGGGCAGATCTCTCTCTAATAAATATTAAAATGGTGAGGAAGAATTATATGTTAGGGTTGGTATGAAGTTTACAGGAATGGTAAATGGCATTTGGCTATCTAAGTTTTCCCCGCCATCATCATCATCGTCATTGTCATTATCATCAATCTTTCTAGGGAAGTTGGATCAGAAGGATATTGGTGTGATCTACTTAAAGGCCATAGCAGGGAAGGTGACAACTTGCTAGTCCTGTTTTTCCCCCACCAGCATTGTTGTCTGTGTGATGGGCACTCTGAGGGCTTTAAGCCTAAGTAAGAGGGGTTTAGCCAAGGCTCATCCAGAGGGCACTGCCCACAGTCCCCAGGGACTGTCACCACTGGCTTTCCCATCACAAGTAGTGTAGAGCGGGCTATCAGTCCTGCAAAGACTATCAGGGGACCCCTGGTGCATGACCTGGGAGAACATCCGTGTGGCCGCAGCCCTGGCACACTCAGCAGGTGGGGAAATCACACCAAAGTCACAGTGACGGAGTCACAGCAGGTTTTGGATTCACTCCTACTTCCAGGGTTTCTTTTACATTATTTTTATAATATTTAGGCAGATATTGCTACCTGACAGGTCCTCTAACATTTCAAATTCTAACCTCAGAATAAGATGAACATCTCTGAACAGAATAAAATCTCTGTTGTTAATTGTAGCTTTCAATGACTAGAGTCTCCTGGGGGAGCTGCAGACGGCGTGCCCACACAGCCTGTGCAGCCAGGGCGCTCTGTTTAAATTCATTCTAATTTCCACCCATTCCACTGTGCCTTCCATGCTGCTTAGCAACCGCTCCCCATCCCCCACTTCTCCCACCCCCTGGTTCATTAACACGTCCTCCCCTGTTCACACACCCAGCTCCCAGCAGCACTGAGACATTAGAAGCCATTGGAAGAGGCCTTCTGTAAGCTCCCGCCACCACATCCACCCGGCCCAGATCCCGACCTTCATATTCCGCCTTCCTTCCCATTGGGGTAGGATGAAGGGTCCATAGTTCTCTTGAAGGCCATAGTCCACCCCCCTTATTCACTAAATCTCATCGCCTCTCACTTACTCACAGTGCTGATGTCTCCATGCTCTCCCCCGTACCATGAATTTCTCCTCTCTACTGGATTATTTCCATTAGCATTTAAACATGTTTCCCATCTTAAAAGCAAAAACAAAAGAAAAACTTCAAACATTTTAAAATTGTGGAAAAAAACACATGGCATAAAATTTGCCATCATAACCATTTCAGTGTATGCAGTTCAGTAGAGTTAAGTACCCTCACATTGGTAGTGGTGAAGAGGTGAAGTGATTGACTTATTTTGGGATGGAAAGTGAAGACTAGAAACTTATCTGTGGAACCTTGACATACAGTGTGACTTGTTGGTATTGACATTATTAGCCAGTCATCTCCTCCTTAATCTATAACAGCATATTTCAGCTCCTCATCTGTGATTTCAGGTGAGATCTTCAAGGTGGTTGCTTCTCACTAGCGGAGAATTCATTCCTCTCCACACCCAGGATGCTGTCGACAATCGCTGCTGAGGGAAAGAAACCCTGAACAGTATTTGCCTCTTGGAGAAATAGCTACTGCTCTCTTTTGCAGAAGGATCCAGTCATCTCTGTTAGCAGAAAACTCAGCAGAGTGAGATGAGCTGCAGGGTCAGTCTCTGGGTGGCTGTTGGGAAAGCACCATCTACAGGACTCCAGCGAGCACAGGGGCTCAGGCAGGAAACTGTCCCCTGGCCTGCATCCTGCTCTCAGAGGGTTTACAGGCTCCCACCACTCATTCTGCTATGTGCTCCCACCAGCTGACACGGCCATTTCTTGGGTGGCTCCACTGTAAGGGTGGGTAAGAAGCTGACCTATGAGTGTGACCTTGAACATGAATCTTGAATGTGAACTTGAATCTGAAGTTCAGCCCCCAAAGCTGCACAGTAGAAAGGTGTGGAAACATGCTAGAGTAGCCATGGCTAACTGCCATCTAGGAAATACTCTCTCAGGGTGCAGAGAGTATTCCCAGATTTTCACTGACCAAATGGGCTCTCTCTTACAGCTCAAATCTCGGGTACTCATGACCCCTTTGGCCCTCTCACCTCCACGGAGTACGCCGGAGCCCGACCTCAGCTCCATCCCTCAGGACGCAGCCACCATCCCCAGCCTGGCAGTCCCCCAGGCTCTCACAGGTAGGTCAGGCGGATGAACGCCAAGGCTGTGATGGCCTGCCTGTCATCTAACAGCTACTCTGTGAATTAGAGAGCTGCCGCCCAGACAGCTCAAATGCAGGAGTGAGAGAGTGTCATCCAGATGGCAGCCAGGACAACCACATTCTCTGAGAACACAAGTTCCAGTGTCTCACAGCTTGGATTATTTAAAACTTGGTTTTCAATGCAGCCTGAGTTCAGCTGGTTGCCTTCAGCTGGGACTAGAAAGAGTAGTTGGTGGCCCAGTTTTTTCTTTCTAGAGTCAGGTTATCTTTGTACCAGTGGTGAGCCTGCTCACCTCGAAGAGTTTCCATCCCTGTGTTTGTACTTCCAGGTCTCTTAAGGATCCTAATCTGCCTTAATCCCACCCGGCACCCTGCAGTCCCGTCAGGGCAGCATGCAGCCCAGTGTCTCTCATGCATGAAACAACCTCCAACCAACAGTTCCACTGCAAGAATAAGAGCAATCAGATTTTCTTCCACACGCACAAGGTCCCCCCTCATCACAACCCCACTGCCCTCTCCCACCACACCCGAATTTCTTCATTCTCTCCCCATTGCTCTTAGGTAAAGACCAAGCTTGATAAGTGGCCAACGAGGACCCGGACGTTCCCTCCTTCTGTGAGGCAGCCCACTGCTCTCCGTAGTCCCTGGGGTCCATCACAGCACCTCAGCAGTCTCACCCTCCATCTGGAATGGTCTTTTCTCTGGTCACCCAATTTCCCCCCTTGATCCTTGGCTCAGGCATTACCTGCCTCCTTCATCGGCTTCTTGCCAGGGTCTTCGGAGAGTCTCTCTGAGGAAGATAGCAGCCATTCTCAGACCTGGGGGCAGTGGTTGTGGCCAGGGTCTACCCTCCATCTGTCAGGATCCAGGGCCCTTCCCCAGCCTGTGTGCTGAGGGCCTCTCCTAGGGCTTTCCTAGCACCAATAAGTGTTTCCCGGCCATGGTCTCACATCATTCCCTGGGACTCTCTGAGTAGGTCTGCTTCCCCCACTGGGCCCTAAGATACGTGAAGCCAGGATCTTGTCAGTTCGGTTCACTATTTTCTCCATGAGGCCTAACACAGTATCTGACATGAAGGCCTTATTACTCATGTCTCCTTAATCATCGTTGATGAGTAGAAGAGAAGGCAGCCTGGCAGAACTGAGAAGAGCGTAGGCCTTGACGTCAGAAAGGCTTGCATCCACACCCCTGCTGCACCGGCAATGACAGGCTTTGTGAGCAGCCATCTAACCACCTAGTAAAGAAGGAATAATGCCTAATTCCCAGGCTTGTCTTCAGAATGAAATAAAATAAAGTATATGAAGTGCCTGGGGTCTAATAGGTGGCCAATGAAAACGAATTTTCTTCACCATTGTTATTACTGTTTTATAGCCCTATTGGTCTCCTCGTAAAGTCCCTCCTTTGTGCTGGTGGCCTCCAGGGTGAGATGCTCATACTCTGGGGAGGGGTGAGGGGAAGGGGGGCAGACGGAAGAGGAGAGTCAGGTGTAGAAGAAAATATGATACCTACTATTAATATATATTTTTACATCAACCTTTAAAAATTTCTTTTTCTTACACTGGCTGGTATGGCTCAATTGGTTGAGCATCGCCCTGCAAACTGAAAGGTTGCAGGTTTGATACCTGATCAGGGTACATGCCTAGGCTGTGGGTTTGGTCCAGTCAGTCAGGGCATATGCAAAATGCAACCAGTTGATGTTTCTCTCTCATGTAGATTTTTTCCCTTTCTCTCTCTCCCTCCTTTCCCCTCTCTCTAAAATCGATAAGCATGTTCTTGGGTAAGGATTTAAATTTTTTTCCTTTTCCTGGTTATGTTTTAAAATGCATATGATACATCAACACAGTTGAGAATGTATATAGCCTATAAATAAATAAACACATTTTGGGGTATGCTATTTTTTACTGATGGGATATATCACTTTACAAGTGTGGAAAACCATTGATTGGGCTCATCTAAATAGGTGGCTGAGTGTTTACTTCCTCTGAAATTGTAAATAGCACTCTCTTTAGAAGTTGAATACATGGTTTTTGGAGCAATCAACATTATCTTCATGTTTTTATTCATCACAAGTTAACAAAAAAGCCGCAGACATTCTGTGTAGCTTGACAGCTTCCTAGGAGAGCAGGGAAGATTGTGCATGTGTACCTGCTTAGCATGGAAATGGGTTCTGCACGCAGTCCCGGGCCTCCACAGCTGTCTACCATTCAGCTCTCAGTGCACCACAGGGGGCCCGCCTGTCCTATCCCCAACCCGGAGACCATCTTGAGAACAAGCCCCAGCAGTTGGAGTGACTGGCCTCTTTGCCTCTTTTATTACTAAGTAGGAAGAGTCAGTCCCACTTCTGCCTTTTTTTTTTTACAGCTTTCCAAGGTCAGGGCCAAGGGGGCACTGACACTGGGCTCTGTGGGTCTTTGTTTCCACAGTCTGCCTCTACATCAACAAGCAAGCCAACGCAGGGCCCTACCTGGAGAGGAGGAAGGTGCAGCAGCTGCCCGAGCACTTTGGGCCCGAGCGGCCGTCGGCGGTCCTGCAGCAGGCGGTGCAGGCGTGCATCGACTGTGCCCACCAGCAGAAGCTGGTCTTCTCCCTGGTCAAGCAGGGCTACGGTGGTGACATGGTCTCTGGTAAGGCCCTGGGGCAGGTTTCGGAGGAGGGCCACAGCATCTCTGAAAAGAAAAGCAGTCATTCTCAGGCTAGAGGGACAGTGGTTATGACCAAGGTCTGGTCTCTATCTGTTGGGCTCTGGGGCTCTCCCTGAGCCTGTGTGCAGAGGGCCTCCCTCAGGGATCACAGAGAAGGTGCTTCCACACCCAGACAAGCAGACTGGGCATCTGGAACCTCACTCTCGACTCCTCTCTTTCTCCTACCCTCCACTCCTCACCACCAGTAAATGCTATTGCTCTCACTTAAAAAATACCCAGAATCCAGCCACCTTTCACCACCCACAGCAGCCTCTCTGGTTCTTTAAAAAATAAGCCAGACCATGACCGTCCTCTGCCCTAAACCCTCAATGACTCCCATGTCGCTTTGAAAAAAAAAAAAAAAAAAAAAAGCCTACATCCTCACAAGGGACAACAGGCCCTGGATGACCTGGCCCTGGCTACCTCTTTGATCTCCTGGTCACCTCTCTTCTGTCCCCTACCTGCTCAGGCCAGAGCTTCTTCCTTGCTGTTTTTCCTGCATCCTCAAGTCAGGCTTGTGCCCCAGGGTTTTTGCCCCCCCCATTCTCTTTCTGAAAGGTTCTTCCCCAGCTGTCCATGTGATTTGCTCCTGAACTCCCTTCAGATGTTTACTCAAATGCCTCCTTATTGAAGACCCCTTTCCTGACCTCCTTGTCTAAAATATCAGCCCTTGTCCCTCTCTGTTCCCCTTTGCTCTGCTCCACTCCTTTCTCATGGCAGTAACCACCATGCAGGGAAGTGGGGATGTTCACAGTCTCAACTCCACCTCACAGGGCAGGTTTTTTTTTTAAACAAGAGCCTTCAAAGTCAAACCCTTCTCACATTACCATTGCCCATCTCCAGTTTCAGCCCCCACCCAACAGCTGCCGGAGGGAGTGGAAGTTGCCTTACAGTGAGAGGCGGAGTCAGGAGCCCTACACAGTGGTTGTCACCACCTGCCCTCAAACCCTGGAGATGTCCCAAAGGGACAGCTTAATGTTTTCTTGGGTTCAGCATCATGGACACAGCCTCCATATCACCAAGGAAAAGGGAGAAACTTCCCCAGAAATGGGGCTATGCAGGTGACCCTGCTGGATGGCTAAGAATGGGGAGACAGGTCTCCAATGGGGCTGTGTCCTGAAAAACCAAAGCAGAGCATTTGATTTAACTCCAGATCCCCAGGGCTTGGGGCCTGGAGGGGTATCCAGCCCAGCTTCTGCAGCTCTGATTGATTTGGCCCACCTTCTAGAGCTCCTCTGAGCAGGAAGTTGTGTCTGCTTGCTGGTAATTGATGAAAATAGAACTTGGCTAGTCTGGGTGCATTTGTCTGATCCAGGATGACTTTAAAGAGATTTTAGCAGATGTGAGCAGAGATAGAAGTGCTGCACCAGGAGAGGCCAGGAGGAGAGACCTCTTGTTGGGCCTTCCAAGAGCCCCTTGGCTGCTCTTCTGGTTTCTGTCTGGCAGCCAGGTTCTCAGCCTGGGCTGCAACCTGAGATCAAACCTGTCCTTTTCCTTGCTGAATAGCAGGGCTCAAGACACAGACCTGGTACTAAGAGAAAGCCCCTCTTATACTGTGTGCCCACCCTTGTAAGTGAATCCCACCTGACTGATTCTTTATGCGCCCTGCCCCACAAAGCTGGGAAAGTGACCCCATTTGCCCTGCTTTCCTGCTTAGTCTTCCTGTGGCCTCAGGGGCCCTGGTGCTGGGAAGGAGCTTCTGCAGGGGCTGGCACCGTGAGTGTGGGCTGAGCCTTGCCAAGTTTCCCTTGGCTGAAGGATTCCCAGTGAGGCCCACGCTGAGCACTTGGTCTTAGTGTCTTAGATAATTCAGTAACACTGAGGGGCTCTGAGGTGGTTTAGGGAAGGACTCAAGGAGAAATAGCCAGACTCTCCCATTCTCCACCCAGAACCTGATCCTTGGGCCACTGCTTTCCAAACATTTCCATGGCAGAATACATAAAGAACGGTGACCCTGGTGCTGCCACAATGGACTAAAGGAACCGAACTGCCATGGCTGGGTCTCAGGCCACCCCTAGGGCTTCGAAGAGCAGCCCTGCAGTGCCCCACACCCATTCCTGGCACACCAGAGCCACCCTCTCCCCCAGGGGTAGACTTTCTGGTCTCACAAGTCCCATGCCCTCCTCCAGGACATAGACTGTTCCCATGTATCTGATCTCCCAGGCAACTCCAGGAATGTATGTGCACTGCTTTATGGGACAGACCTGGTGGCCCAGACCCTCTTGCTGTGGATTCAGTTTCTAACGCACCCACTTTTTTAATGTATTGGAGGCCAGTAGCAGTACCCACACTAAGAAGGAATTTCTAGAGCATCTGAATGGCCAGTATGGCACTCTTGGTGAGCATCTTGGGAGCTCATTGGCTGTCTCTCCTCTCAGGGTCACCTGGAGTATTAAAATGACAGGCAAGTCCACTTAGAGTCCACATGAGCTGGAGAGACCAGGCCTTCTCTACAGTTTCCTCATCTGTAACATGGGTCAACCTTGTGTCCAACTCTCCTCCCAGGACAGCAGGAGGCCTAAGTGACATGATGGATATGAAAGCTCTCGCCAAGCTCTAAAGAGTGACACAAAAGAAATGGATTATTTTGATTTCTAATTAAAATGAGTATTTTTCTCATTTGTTTTCATTTTGAAATCAAAACTAGCTTTGATGGCCTCTGCCCCACCCCGCTCGCCATTGGCCAGCCTTTGGGAAATAAAACGTGAAAAACCAGGCTGCGTTCCAGGTGCTGATGCTGAGTGGTGGAGGCCCAGGTGGGAGCAGAACGTCCTGTCTGGGAGCTTCTTGCTCCTCACACTGGGGCTGGCACGCAGGCTTCTTGGGGTGAGAGAGGGCTGTGGGGAGAATCACAGAACAGAACATGCTGCGGGCTGCAAGGAACCAGCATTTCTTCTAAATTCTGGTAACTCCAAAGAAATCAAGTTTAATCTAGCATTCCTGTGGGGAGATTATTGTTCTTTTATAAAGATTATTCCCCAGAGTGCTAGAATGAACCCTGAACTCTGTGGGGCTGAATGAAAGACTTCAGTACAAACCCAGGTTTTTAAAATATACTTCTATATCTAGATCTATCTGATCTATTTATTATTTATATATCTATCTATCCTTATCTATGTCTAGATAGAGAAATAATAATAATGAATAGCATATACCATACATTTCTTAGCTCTCTTCAGAAAGGCCCCAGAACTACTGACACCCCAGTAGCAATGAGCACCTCTAGTGCCTAAATCTTGGTTTCTAAGTACTACTCTTCAATAAATGGAACCAGGACTGCTGCATAAATGGCTGGTTTTAAGGCTTGGACAGGGAAAACACAAGATAAACCTGGAACATATTAGAGTGTCAGTAACCAAAGGGTTGCTAAAAAAAAAAAAAAGTGGCATGTCCTATGGACACAGGAGTCGACCTGAAAGCTCTCAGAGACAAAAGCTTCAACAATTTGAGCAATAAAATAAATAACGTATTATTGGATAACCACAGTACAGAGTAAATATACTGAGTCTGTACTGATACTAATCAACGACTGAACAAATAGAGGAGAAGAGACAGTTCTTCCTTTTGGAAGAATTTCAAATGATACAGAGACTCTCCCCTCTCCAGAAGGCAGAGCTTAATCCTCCCACCCTTGAGTGTGGGCAGGACCTTGTGACTTATTTGTAAGGCAGCGAGAAACTGGAGAGTACAGTGAAGAGTGGCAAACACCGTCTTGGCCAGGTGATGATAACACCCCAGTGATGTCATGTAGGTGTCATGTGTACCTGATCCGATGCAATGGGGAAGGCACTTCCCCTCTGTGGTCTTCCTCCCCCCAAAACTTATCATCCAAGTCAGATTATGAGAAAAACATCAGACAAACCCAAATTGAGGGACATTTACACAATGCTTGATCGGTATTCTTAAAAACTACCAAGGCCATGGTAAACAAGGAAAAGCTGAGGCACAGTCCCAAATCTGAGGAGACCAAGGAGACATGACGACGTCACCCACTGTGGTCCCCTCGATGAGATCTTGGAACAGAAACGGGGCATTCGTGAAGAAACAGGTGAAATCCAAAAATCAAAAACAAAACAAACTGAACAAACGAAAGCCCCTTGCCCAGGGCTGACGGACTTGCGCTCCGCTCTGAGTTGCTGTCTCTGTGGTTTTCCAGTCTCGGCGTCCTTTGACGGGAGACAGCACCTGCGGAGTCTGCCGGTGGTCAACAGCGTCGGGTACGTCCTCCGCTTCCTCGCCAAGCTGTGCCGAAGCCTCCTGTGTGATGACCTCTTCAGCCACCAGCCCTTCCCCCGGGGCTCCAGTGCCTCGGAGGAGGCCCAGGAGAACCAGGACGGCAGGATGGAGTCAGGTAGGCTTTGTCCATCTGTCCTCCCCTTACCTGCAAGTGATCTCTGGTGTACCTGCCCTCCCAGGGCAGGTGAGGCTGCTGCTTAGTGAGCCCTACTTTGCAGAGCTCTCCTGCTGGAGGCCCATGGGCTGTCTCTCGGAAGCCCTGGGAGTAGTGAGGGCCAGCTAGGACCAAGGTTACTTAGATGGACCCCAAGGTTACTGGATGGGGTCCATCTAAGTAACCTTGGTCCTAGCTGGCCCTCACTACTCCCAGCAGTGGGAAAGGACCACTCCATTACAGCTTTTAGGTTTCTGTTACTAGAATTTAGATGAGACCATATTGCACATGAGTAATTTTCTTCACACTCCTCTAATTAAGACTGTAATTAAGGCATTTACTCACAGTTGTTGAGTAGTTGAAAGACTAAGGAACTAAGAAATTCTGAAAAAAACTAGGGCTAAGAATGGATTACATTGGTCCTGCCTCAGGCACACTCAGACGCCTACCCATGTGGATAGAAGGTGTACTGGTATCTATTACTGCAGGAGTTTTCCCAGGCCATAAATCACATATGTCTTTCAGTGAGAATTAGTGTTTCTTTCTCATCACAGGATGGAAAGGGACCCAGGGGAGGAGTGCCTCTGATACCACCAGCCCCAGCACAGCTCAGCATGGGAGAATGGCCAGTGGGAAGGGCACCAAGGCCACATGGACACACTTACCATGATGTGTCTGCCCAAGGGGCTAGATGCTGACAGGAAGTACCCCTTCTCCACTTTGCAACCCTGAGTTACCAATCTGCAAAGAATTAGATATGGCTCCCAAGGTTCCCAAGGATAGATAGGAATGTTGCCTTTTTTCTTTTTTCAGAAGCAGTGCTGTTGATAAATAAAGAACACATAGGCAGTGAAACTGGAATCTAGTCATTAGGTCATTCTGCAAACATTGGCTGAACTCCCTTCTGTTCCAAGCCCTGGGAGACCTTCTCTTGGGACAAGACAAACACATGAGCTTGGGAAAGTTTCTGTGGTATTGAGTGACCGTTATGAATAATGGAAAACAGGTGCATCTGTAGGCATGCACTCACAGCCTGAGAACATTCAACAGAATGATCATAAGAGCTGTATCTTAAGCCTAGGAAGATAGCAGAAAACAATAAATTTAGGGAAGAATAACTATTGTTTTTTAAATTTAATTTTCAATTTTAGTTGACATACAATATTCTATTAGTTTCAGATGTACAACGTGATTAGATGTGTATATTCCTGATGAAATGATCAACCTGTGTGACTCCATGCAGAGTGATTACAGTGTTACTGACTATTCCCTTGCTGTACTGTACATCCCAGTGACTGTCCTTGAAACTGGCAATTTGTACTTTTCAATCCTTTTCACCTTTTTTTACTCATCTCCCCAAACCTCCTCTCATCTGGTGACCATCAATTTATTCTCTGTATCTATGAGTTTGTTTCTGTTTTGTTTGTTCATTTATTTTGTTTTTTGTTTTTTGTTTTTGTATTTCACATATAAGTGAAATCATATGGCATTTGTCTTTTTCTATCTGATGTATTTCACTTAGTATAATACCTTCTGGGTCTATCCATGTTGTCCCAAATGGCAAAATTTCATTCTTTTTTATGGCTGAATAATATTCCATTGTATGCATGTACCACATCTTTATTTATTCATCTACTGATGGACACTTAGGTTGCTTCCATATCTTGGCTACTATAAATAATGCTGCAATGAACATAGGGGTGCATATATATTTCTGAATCAGTGTTGTGGATGTCTTCAGATAAGTGGAAGTGCTGGGTCGTATAGTAGTTCTACTTTTAATTTTTGAAGAACTTCTATGCTGTTTTTCCATAGTGGCTGCCTGTGTCTACATTTCCACCAACACTTCACAAGTGTTCCCATTTCTCCACATCCATGCCAGCACTTGTTGATTTATTGAAAATAGCCATGCTGACAGGTGTGAGGTAGTATCTCATTGAGGTTTTAATTTGCATTTCCCCGATGCTCAGTGATGTTGAGCATATTTTCATATGTTCATTGGCTATCTGTATGTTCTGTTTATAGAAATGTCTATTCAGGTCCTCTGCCCATTTTTAATTGGATTTTTTAGGGTGGTGGTTAAGTCATATGAGCTCCTATGTATTTTGGATATTTACCCCTTATTGGATTTATGATTGGCAAATATTTTCTCCTATTCAGTAGGATGTCCTTATGTTCTGTTGATGGTTTCCTTTGATGTGCAAAAACTTTCAATTTGATGTAGCCTCACTTGTTTATTTTTTCTTTTGTTGCCCTTGTCTCAGGAGACATACCCCCCCAAAATCCCAAAACATTGCTAAGAGCAATGTCGAAGAGTTTACCGTCTGTGTTTTCTTCTAGTAGTTATATGGTTTCAGGTCTTACATTTAAGTCTTTAATCTACTTTGAGTTTATTTTTGTACATGGTACATGATAGTGGTCTAGTTTCAATTTTTTTCATGTATCTGTCCAGTTTTTTCAATTCCACTTATTGAAGAGACTGTCTTTACCCCATTGTATATTCTTGCCTTCTATGTCATAGATTAATTGACCATAAAGGTATGGGTTTATTTCTGGGCTCTCTCTTCTTTTCCATTGATCTATATCTCTGTTTTAATGCCAGTACAATGCCGTTTTGATTACTGTAAACTTGTAGTATAGTTTGATATCAGGTAGTATGATACCTCCAAATTTGTTCTTTTTTCCCAGATAATTGTTTTTTTTATTTTTTAAATATATTTTACTGATTATGCTATTACAGTTGTCCCATTTCCCCCCTTCACTCCCCTCCACCCCACACACACCCTCCCACCCACATTCCCCCCCTTTAGTTCATGCCCATGGGTCGTACATATAAGTTCTTTGGCTTCTCCATTTCCCATATTATTCTCAACCTCCCCCTGTCTATTTTCTACCTACCATTTATGCTTCTTATTCCCTGTATCTTTTCCCTCATTCTCCCCCTGCCCCCTCTCTGCTGATCTCTATTTATGTGAATCCATTCCTCTTCTAGTTGTTTGCCTAGTTCATTTTTGGTTTTGTTTTCTTAGGTTCAGTTGTTGATAGTTGTGAGTTTGTTGTCATTTTACTGTGTGTATTTTTGATCTTCTTCTTTTTCTTAGATAAGTCCCTTTAACATTTCATATAATAAGGGCTTGATGATGATGAACTCCTTTAATTTACTCTATCTGGGAAGGACTTTATTTGCACTTCCATTTTAAAGGATAGCTTTGCTGGATAGAGTCATTTTGGATATAGGCCCTTGCCATTCATGACTTGGAATACTTCTTTCCAGCCCCTTCTTGCCTGCAAGGTTTCTTCTGAGAAATCAGCTGGTAGTCTTCTGGGAACTCCTTTGTAGGTAACTGTCTCTTTTTCTCTTGCTGTTTTTAAGATTCTCTCCTTATCCTTCATCTTGGGTAATTTAATTATGATGTGCCTTCATGTGTGTTTCCTTGGGTCCAACTTCTTCAGGAACTTCCTGGACTTGCTGGAAATCTATTCCCTTTGCCATATTAGGGGAGTTCTCCTTCATTATTTTTTCAAATAAGTTTTCAGTTTCTTGCTCTTCCTCCTCTCCTTCTAGCACCACTATGGTTTGGATGTTGGAACATTTAAAGTTGTCCTACAGGTTCCTAAGGCTCTCCTCATTTTTTTTTGAATTCTTATTTCTTCATTCTTTTCTGGTTGGATGTTTCTTCCTTTCTTCTGGTCCACTCCATCGATTTGAGTCCCAGTTTCCTTCCCATCACTGTTGGTTCCTTATACATTTTCCTTTATTTCACTTAGCATAGCCTTTATTGTTTCATCTAATTTGCAACCAAATTCAACCAATTCTGTGAGCATCCTGATTACCAGTGTTTTGAATTGTGCATCTGATGGGCTGGCTACCTCTTCATCACTTAGTTGTATTTTTTTCTGGAGCTTTGATCTGTTCTTTCATTGGGGCCATATTTCTTTGTCTTGGTATACCTATTACATTGCAAGGGGTGGAGCTTTAGGCATTTGCTAGGGTGGGGTAACCCACGTTCATGCGTTGTGTCACAATATGTGGTGAAGGGTTCGAGAGGGAACAGTGCTGCTTGCTTAGCTCTCAGCAGTCACTTCCTCTGTTACCCACAAGCAAATTGGGCCCTTCTGGTGCTGATTCTCAGGTGAGTGGTTTTGTGTATGCCCTAGGACCCTGTGGGTCTCTCCAATGAACTCTCCTGTGAGGCTGGGAGTTTCTCCTGCTGCCGCAATCCCCCACAGGTTTTTTCAGTCAGAGGTTTTGAAGCTTTATTTCCCTGTATTAGAACCCTGGGTTGTGCAATCTGTCTCACTCCCTAGTTGTTTCTCCCAGTTTATCTGAATGCAACTGTGGGACTGTCTGGTCCTCTAGCCACCGCCTTGCCACCAGTCCTCTCTGCCCCTCCTACCAGTCTGGATGGATTTATTCTTTGACTCCTCGATTGTTAGACTTCCACACAGTTAAATTTTCCGGCAGTTCCAGTTATTTTTTGTTTTTAAATTTGTTTTTATCCTTCTTTTGGTTATGCGAGAAGGCAAAGTGTATCTTCTTATGCCTCCATCTTAGCTGGAAGTCTGTTCTTCTTTGTCAATATTGCTTTGGCTACTTGGGGTCAGCTTAGAGTCTTAGCATAGATTTTATCAGATACTGTCAAGAACCTTGTCTACACTTTTACTTTAATCTCTCTGACACCTGGGAAACAGGAAGAAATTTGGCCTTGACAAAGAAGGGTGCTTAACCAAACATGGGCTTTGTCACTAGATGCTGTATACTCCGTTTTTCTTGATGTCTCTATATGTACGATATGAGTTAGGAAAAGTCTTCTAATCGCTCAGCTTCCTAAATGAGGGGTTGGAGTGGCTCATATATAATGTTCCTTCCAGTCCTGACAGGATGAATCTGGCCTCTCCTATAAGATTTAGTTGAGTCAGACACAACTTTTGCTATTCTAAAGCAAATGTATCTTGTAGTG